GTAGAGTAGAGTAGAGTAGAGTAGAGTAGAGTAGAGTAGAGTAGAGTAGAGTAGAGTAGAGTAGAGTAGAGTAGAGTAGAGTAGAGTAGAGTAGAGTAGAGTAGAGTAGAGTAGAGTAGAGTAGAGTAGAGTAGAGTAGAGTAGAGTAGAGTAGAGTAGAGTAGAGTCTGTCCCAGCCCGTTTGACTTTATACAGTCCCTGCTTTATACGACCATTTGCTCTACAATAACTTGTATATATAGATTTCATATACGGATCCCAAATCTCCAACTACATGCGTCCCGTAGCTAAAAGCATTTATAAGTTGTTTTTGGATGCTTTGCGCAAACAAACAGTCATTGTCACGTCCAGAACTGCAAAGTATACAAACAATTAACTTTGGCAAGTACGTGTCAATAAGTGACTTGACTAAGAGTTATTTGCAATTGTGCGCTTACATTATTGATTGAATACAATAAACATTTCATCAATTAGTTTGCTGAAGCGCGAAGAAAATAAAAGACTCTTCAACGCATTAAAAAAACTTCTGACATTGGTCAAACTCTGACTCAAAGTAATTCTTCTTTTGTTGTTAGCTTTAACGTTCATTAGGGTATTCTAGCAACACATCAAAACATACTTATACACGAACAGGAGTTTTTGTTATAAATGGTACATTCCGGACTATTTTCACGAAATCATTAACAACTTTGAGTGCTTAACAAAGCAAGGAAATACGATTGTACTGACTATAACACGAGTCCAGGCAAAAAGACGCTGCGAGAGCGGAGAGAGGGTCGACAGTAGACACAACGCTTCACGAGCCTTCTTGTCTTCAGGTCGACTTTTCTTGCATGCCGTACGCGGCGAATCGGCCGAAGTCACAGCAACTGAAAAGTATGTTATGACTGAAGTAGATAAAGATCATTGATTTAAACTACTTGGCTTCTATGGGTCAGAGATTAGCAAACATTGGCCTATGGCTTTGGATGGCTTTGGACTTAGCATGATTAGATGATTCCACGAGTATCAGAGTAATTAAACCGAGAAAAAACGAATCGCACTCCTGACCATCAATCAAACGTGAAATTCTGATTTGTATAAAATGTCCACGATGATTACTGAATGTAACCTGTCTTTCCCCTCTCAAGACGGCAGTAGTTTAGCAAAGCCTTGTAAAGTAAGAAGGCCCCAGCAGTACGTGCTTGCTTCACAGTATGAAAAAGAACTCTTTAATAGACTACCATCTATTGATAGACCATGTTATCATGTGAATAAAGGCAGTCGGCAGAGGCCAATGTCTGGACTGAGAATTACTGGCATAGGCAAAGAAACAGTCAATCTACCATATAACAAAGACTTGAATACAACAAAATCAGAAAAAGGCAAGAAGAAAAGTAATGCAATCAACAAAGAAGCCCTATTGCCAGATATTGTGGAAATGAAACCATTAGCCAACCTGTCGAAAGAAGGAAGGAAGAAAAAGACAGAAAGTCTGACTTCATTGGTTGAATTGTTCCGTCCTTCTGCYTTGGACTCAACCAAACGATCTAAAAACCATAATTCCATACGTAATAAACAACACAGAATAGGTAATAACCAGACGACGAATGGCAATAATGCTGATTTTATAATATCACAAGTTATTGACAGAGTCAAACTTGAACAAAGTATAGCAACTAGGCAATTACAGAACACCATTTTACGTGGAAAAGGAATAAGGGGATATAAACATTACTGATAGACATCGCTTCGCCATTCTCCTGTTCCGCGACGAGTTGGCTATAAGATATGTCTTGTGTACAGTTAGACTCATTTTCATTCTATTCGCTCCTTAACTTTTCTTCGCGGCTTAAACTATGTACATATGACTTTAGAAATAAAACATTTTAAACAAATTTAACAAAAAAGTCCGAGCCAAAAGTTAAGGCGTTACTCTGGGTTACAGAGGTTTTCTCTTCTTTTCCAAAATGTTTTATTTTTGTATAATGCGTATTTTTTAAGTTTTTRAAATAAAGTACAAGTACGAAAAACCAAAGATAAACATCTACGAACAAATAGAAACCTCTGGAACCAGAGTAATAAGGCGTGCAGACACACGGCCAGACGCGGCGGAATGATGAGTAGGATGAGATACAATTTGGGTGAATAACTCTGAAAAAGAATATTAACTAATAGGTTTCTTTCAACTGAACGGTGTAGTGTCTCAGGTGTGACATGCAAAAAAAAAAGAACATTAACGTGGCATAGCGGTTTTATAATCGCTTCGGCGTATTAAAGGGCAAAGCTAAGCCAGTTTTTTTGACGGAAATGCCCCCCAAAACTTTCCATGAATACATGTTTATGTCTTAGCTTGTTCTCATACTTTAAGTCTATTGTTTCCCGTGGTCACTACAGATCTTTCCATGTGTGATGTACTTGTACTTGTTCGTTAGTGCTAACAGGGAACCCTGTGTGTAGCGCAACCGTCATGGGGCGAGTTAGTTAAATTACGTAAAGAGTGGTTAAATTGCGGGCTCACATTTTCCAAGATGTCGGACGAAGTGGTGGTCTTTGATGTGGAAGAACGCAAAAAGCAGCCTAGCAGCTCAGGAATCAAAAACTTTTTTGCTGGTGGATTTGGTGGAGTATGTTGTGTAGCAACTGGACATCCACTCGACACTATCAAGGTATGGCTATTTCTTATTATGCAAGAAAAGTATTTTTTTTCTTGTCAAGAAAAATTTGTGTTAAAACCGGCACATAGCGTAACTTAATAAGCATGATAAAAATATACGTATAAATAAGGTGATGCTTTCAAAAACGACTAACTTATTATTATTATCGCCCATTTATAAAATTTAAGAAAGATCTATCGCAAACGATACCGAATCGCCGGTGCAGAGGAGATATTTGCAATGAAGTCCAGTAATATTACTGTCACGTCAACTTGATGAAGGTCAAGATATTTAGTTTGTAACATTCTATTTAACATTATCCAGCATGTATTACATAATCTTCCTACATTAAATTAACTTATTTGAACATCGCATGGTATTTATCTCAAAGTGAGGGAATTTGATGACAACAAAAATCAAATTAAAAAAAATGTCAATTCTCCTTGTTTTTTTTTTGTATTTTTTTGGCTGTTGTTGTTGCCTTTTGTTGTTTTGTTTTCTCAAAATATCGGATCCTAAAAGTTACACAAGGGACTGCATTTCTGCAATCACTCGTACCCATTTGTCAAGTTGTGACAGTCATTGAAGAATATTATTTCAGAACTGTTAATGGTATTGTTTTTGTATTGTTTAAAGGTAAGGCTACAGACAATGCCTAAACCTCTTCCAGGAGAGAAACCAATGTTTACTGGTACTTTTGATTGTGCTTTAAAAACGATAAGAAATGAGGTAAGCTCTTTATGTGTATAATATATACATGAAAGCTCAAAATGGTTGAACTCATGACAACTGTACGTCGTGATTACAAATTAAGTATGGCATGTATTTACCAAGCTCGTTCACCTACAGTAAATATTTTTATAACATTTTTTTTTTTGGAATTTATATACAGTTGTATTGTGCCAGAAACCTATAAGGGACTTGAAACATGTAGCAGCATGCCATCCATTAGAATATTCAAATCTAATTTGCATCTCAATTTTCCTTATTTGGAACAACTTAATTTACCCTATAGCCAACCAGAATGGGCTGTAAATCTCTTATCCACAGGTGGAATTTTCCAAATATGTTCATAACGTTCGTTTTAGGATGTTTCATGAGCTTTGAATATTCCAATGCTTGGTACTAAAGAAATATATGGGCGCTACACGTTTCAAGTCCCTAGCTTATAGGTTTCTGACTGTACTAAGTAGAGATATTCAGTGAAAATATACAGTRCAATTATTACATTACATTTTTATCAAAATCAAGAACCCAGTGCCAACTCAAACTTACCTTTACATTATTGGTCTTTCTATTCACTCCCTCACTGACACATTTTGATTTTTATTGACAAAGAAACAAAAAGCTTGGGAATTGCAAGGAATTTGTTTTCTTTTTATAATAGTTTTATTTATATGGACATTATTGAGCATAGGTCCATTATGAATTGTTACCCAAATGTAGAATTTTGCATGATATTTRGCTATTTCACCTATGGCTAAAAGTATTGGGAATTTTAGCCAAAATAAGATTTCTTCATTCAATTTCTTGGAAGTCCTCAATCATGTTAATTTTGTTCTTTCAGGGATTTTTAGGTCTGTACAAAGGTATGGGAGCACCCATATTTGGTGTCACTCCTATATTTGCTATTTGCTTCTGGGGATTTAATATGGGGAAGAAATTACAAATGAAAGATCCTAGTGCTGATCCAACGTAAGGATTTTATGCTATGTGCTATGTACCTCACCATTTTGATGAAACAGTTCTCAGTGACTGCATTAAATATATCTTGGATGTATGTAGTGGTGGATCCAGAGGAGGTCCCATGGATTGCATAAAACCCCACTTGAACAAATAAAAAAAGGAAAGGAAAATGGGTCCAGAATTGAATTTTGTTATGTTCATGATCCTGAATCATAGACAAAATGAGGTGCTTGTGGCTATGGGGGACTATTTGAAAACATAACATTTATTTTAGGAAAATGTGAAATTTTTAAATTATCTTTCCTTAAAACATGTATCACACAAAGGACATATCTTGCATCTCARGTTATTGCATGCTCTGATTAGTTAGTGCATGGTCCATTTTTCTGCCAGTCTCCAATATGAAATGTAGAATTTGAGCAAAAAAATACAAACAAACAAAAACAAGAAAAAACATACTTTGAAATACCAGCTTTATTTCAGTGCAGGTATTTTGAAAACTGCCCGCATTCTTCTATATGGACTGCAGCCTGCATACTTGGTCTGAGGCCTCTGTAATGACACAGGTATTTATATTGTTTTGTTTAGATACTTCCAGATATGTAATGCTGGTGCATTCGCTGGTGTTTGTACAACTGCTATTATGGCTCCTGGAGAAAGAGTCAAATGTCTTCTTCAGGTAACWATTAAGAGATATTAATTACCAGTATTATACAGCATAGGTACCAATGATATCAACCCACTTAGCATTGATAATTGTAGGGCCGTGTGCGAAAATGGCATAAGTGACTCTTTAGGTATTTTTGAAATTTTCACAAAATCGAAGAAAATTGTCTACAATGACTCCTTTTCAGTCTTAATAGTTTAAATAGTTAAGGAGCTTGCTTGCTGAAAGAATCCAGCTTCATTTTTATGACTTCAGCTATTGCTTTAATTAATGGCTTTAATGTCAAAATGGCTAGCTCAATCATCCCTGCTATTGATGTGATTTTATACAAAATTAAATATTTGGACTCTGGGAAAGAGGGGAGGTCGAGGAGTTTGTTTGCTTTTGAAGCACAGATTTTAGAGCCTTACTCTTAGCTATAAAACCTAACCCTATACACCATCCCCAAAACCCAATYCTTCTAACCCTAACCCTCAATCAAGGAACCCTAGCCTCTGTCTTAGGTTACAGGAACCCTAACCCTTGCCTCAGGCTGGAACTAACCCAAAGCTTAAGCTTGGGGCAGAGGCCTGTAAATCGGGATGTTTTAYYCCTCCAAGAAAATCATGAGAAGTARCTAGCAAATATGAAATTTAGACTAGAAATAAGTGATTGATTGCAATTTTCTTCCATTTAATGAAAGTTTCAAAAATACCCTTAAAAAGTCACTTACGCTGTTTTCACATATAGCCCTTTAATTTCAGGGGTTTCAATAAAAGCTGGCAGCTGGCAAACTCCGGCTTCTATTTAGACATTTGAGCCAGCTACTTTTGCCATGTCATATTTAAATTTTACCTTTTAATCATGATCTTCATATTCTACCGTAATATTTCAAAAAGTTGACATTTTTCCTCAATTTCAATTGCTTTGCTTTAAGAATCGCAACGTGATATAAAACTTCAGCACTAGCTGTCTGCCATCTTGAAACTATAAGAAGAGTGAGACTGGTGACAAATCTGACTCAMTTTCATTCTGTAGTCGGCTRCTTTTACAACTTGGCCACTTTCTTGCAAATTTATTGAAACYCCTGCAATTGTGGGACAATGTTGTGCTAAATGTTGTGAGTTTTAAAATAGATTCAACAAGCCTCAGGAGGAGAACAAAAGTATAAAGGACCTATTGATTGTGTGAGGCAGATCTACAGACAAAATGGAATTAGAGGAGTTTATAAGGGGGTTTGTGCCACACTATTACGAGGTATTTTCATCTCACTTTGCATAAATTTTTTCTTTGTTTCTCTTGCTGTTATCTGTCCATTTCCCTTTAAATCTAAGTACCATGCTGAAGAGTGGATCTTGAAAAGTTATCATGATCATTATCAATGAAACTGATATAAATATCATACAGAATAACAGTACACATTTTTCTTGACTTCCCTGTCATTATAGAAGTGACATGAATACTGTGGACTAGCTAATTTATACCAACATTTGAGTGTTATACTCTTGCCAGTTAAAGAAAAAATAGTTGCACAAAAATAGTTGAATAATCTCAAACCTCAGAACCTCTACTCACTGTTAAATTAAAAGTGTTATTTTGTGTTGATTGACAGATGTTCCTGCTACTGCAGCCTATTTCACCTCGTATGAATATCTCCTTAAATCATTAACACCTGAAGGTGGAAAGTAAGCATTTTTGGCTACTGTTGTATAAATCTATCACTTTCTTCTCATAAAAACTGATATTTCTCAGATTCTTGATTTTTGTCTTTGAAGTCTTTTAGTGATGTGATTTTGGCTCAATCTAATATTGTTGATCTCRAAGTGGTATTGTCTTTTGTCCAAAGCATACAGTCATTCTTTTTTAAAGATTGTATACATTTAGAAAAGATTCAAATTCAATTTACACCAACTTTCTATGCACTTAATCATGTTTTAAAATACTGTTGCACTAAATAGGTGTAGTCAAATAAGAATTTCAAACTTATAAGTAATATGTACAATATGAGCGGGCGATCTGTATGAGGATTTAAAACAGCGAGCTGAAAGCGAGCTGTTTTAAACCTCATACAGATCGCACGCGAATATTGTATATTACTTATGAAACGTTAAGGTAAATTAGCTCAGGTTTTAAAGAAACTTTTGAAAAAAAATTCAATCTGACTGAGAAAATCAGAGTAAAMGTTTATGCAAATKAAYAAGAAATCTGTATGTAATATACAACTCTCTTCATGGGCTATGATTTCTATTGTGTTTTGCCTTATGAATATTAATGAGTTTTATAACTTGATTTATTCTCCTACTACTGACTGACACACATATCTATTTATAACTTGATTACTGGCCTTACTAGGAGAGATGATCTTGGAGCCCACAAGATTCTTTTTGCTGGAGGTAACATAATTTTATCAGCATAGCTGAGAGAAGTAGTTTTATGCAATCTGATTCTATCTTGACCACTTTAGGATACATTTAGTTCTTTTTTCTATCATAATATTCATTTGCTAATAATGCTGTTTTTGTATKTCTGAACAGGAATGGCTGGAATGGCTAACTGGACAGCAGCCATTGCTCAAGATGTGTTAAAATCCCGTCTACAAACTGCACCAGAAGGAACTTATCCCAATGGTGTTCGCGATGTCTTTAGGCAACTGGTAATGAAATTGAACCATTTAATAACGAGAATATTAAATTGATAGAAATGATAGTGTTATTTATTAATTTGCACACTTTAACAACGTCCTTTTGCACCTTGTGATCGATTTGCAGCAACTCTTTTGTTCAATATATACAGTGAACACGATTTTTATAAGCATGCAATTATTGTCACGCTTAAATAATGTTATTTTGTCAAATAAAATAAAAGGAGTAACTATTACGATTAAGTCCGTTTATTATATCTGGAAAATATTTTGTCAAGAAAATTCACGTCAAAGGATTTATTTTACTGATTTGTCTAATTTATTTTGCAAACCATATCATGGATATATGAATGCAYTCTGCTGATAACCTTGCTGTTTTTGTTTTAATAGATGAAAGAGGAAGGACCAGCCGCACTCTTTCGAGGTCTAACTCCAGTAATGCTGCGTGCCTTCCCTGCTAATGCGGTAAGTTTTATATGCGGTCTAGTGCAACTTCTCGTTTTTTTAGGTCGACACCCTTAGGAAGTCAGAGAGTTTCCATAAAGGATAATAGTTTTATTTTCTTTTTGTGGAGACCTTTTTAAGTAACAGATTGTGATTACTTGATTATCGTCTTGTGTTCTTACCACTCTAATGATTCGTCGTGTGAAGGGTGGATAAGTTATCCATTCCTTCCTAGATACGACCATCATCCCCACCCCTCCATATATGGAATCCCCCCCTTCCCCCGAGCATACAGCCGGCTCCAGCTCTTATATAGCTCAAGACCTTAAACCGCAAAGGAAAGAATTAATCATTGGGATTGGCTGTCCGCGTCCGCTTACTAGAAGTATAGGTGAATTCGAGTTAGGCCCCGTTTACGCGAGGCTGTTTCCGTTCCGAACCGTGTAAGTTTTTCGTGAGTTTGGGCGCGTGTTCAAGGGACTTCCAGAACTTAAAATGTGAACAGAAATAACTATCTAAACAGCAAGAACTAAAATTTACAGAAACCAGGCGAGGCTGACAGTTTGATTCCATCTTGTCCATCCATTTTCGATTGAMTATCAGTCAAAATGAGATTWTTCGGATTATCTTTCGTTTTAAAATTTACAGTGTAACAATAACACGGAGCTTTTAATTCCTGCAAACTAACATTRTATTTTTGTTTCAGGCTTGCTTTCTTGGATTTGAGCTTAGTATGCGATTCTTCAATTATATAGCTCCAGATTGGTAAATTACATGTTTAATCAACAATAAAAACACGTTTTGTCACTTAGAGAACCATGCAGATTTAGTGCTAGCACTTTCATGAAATTAYATAGGAAAATTGAATAAAATTCGACATTTATCACATTCTATTAACCAGACTCTTTTTATCTTCCGAGCGAAATTMAAAGGCTCAGGGACACCYTATGAAAAGCTTTTAMGCTTTTAAAAAAGAAATACGAGCGATCGAAAATTGGTAAAAATGAATGGGATTATCACGGTGAAACTGAAAAATCTTTGTTTAAAGATTCAAATGAATTTATTAAGTCAGTTCAAGACCCAGCTGCCTGCGTTATACCTACGAATGCTGCGTGCCTCAGTAATTATCTATTAAATAATATCGATTATTGTAACCCATTGTTTTCCCTCTGCATTAGACTCAACGAATGCAGACAGAAACAGGTTGGCCAGCTGCAATATTTAAAATATTGCTGTCTGCTTCAACCCTGTCCTTAGGATGTGAAAGGACATGTCTTAGGGTCACCTCAGGTCGCATACAGCATTTGATGTTGTTTGCTGTSAGAACTTTGTGAATCCTTTCGGTGGTCCCTTTGACATAGGGAAGTGTGGCAAAACCTTTGGGCTGGCTAGGCTCTTCGTCAGTGATCTTATTATTCTTGGGCGAAATTGAATGTCTTTCCAAAAAGCTAGAAGGGTATCCGTTCTCAAGGAGGGCGGTGGTAAGATGGTCGTGCTCGGCTTGCTTCACATCATCATCGGAAAAAAGATTTTCTTTGCGATGGACTAGAGTTCGTACAACTGCTGCCTTGTGTGAAGAAGGGTGGTGACTAGTGTAATAGCTAGAAAAATAGCTAGAACAATCTCAAAACACGGCGGACTGTCGGTAACGCAACACTGACAAAATCCTAAATGGCCGCAGCCCATAAGATAACAGATTAAATGCCCAGTTAACTCTAAAAATACGAATAACATTATGACCCGTACTAATACTAAAGAATGATGTCATCAGTATTATGATTCTGTCAGCATTCGCCTCTCAACATGAACTGTACTCCTAGTAAGAGTAAAGAACGTRTATGATGTCATCAGTATTATGATTCTGTCTGCCACACAGCATTCGCCTCTCAACATGAACTGTACTCCTAGTAAGAGTAAAGAACGTGTATGATGTCATCCGGATAATGATTCTATTGKGGATTTCGTTTTCTGCCGCACACCCTACCCCTCTTAACATGAACTGTACTCCTAGTAAAGAATGCAGAGGTTTCTGGCAATAATGTTGTTTTAAATCTGCAAATAGGAATGGCTTTAAAAATCAATCTTTATTTATAAAWATGTTTATACAATGTTTCCAAGTGCAACGAATTTYGTCGCGACGTTTATGTAAGTTTTAACACGCTCATTTTAATCATAGAGCTTTATTTTGTAGTTAGGAAGCTCGTTTAGCTAATACGAGTCTAATAAGAGAGAAAAAACTGCCGGTCATTTAGCATTTTCATGACCATAAAGGCCCGTTTACACTTGCAATTTTTGCAGCGCAATTGYCGTTCTCTCGCACCTCAAATCGCACGTGTTAACAGCCCTGCGATTGTCGCGGCAATCAAAAATCGCCGCGAGTTGCAGCTAAATCCAAGCATATTCGTGAGGCGATTGTTGCGCGACAATCGGGGAGAGTTGAAAACACTGACCCCCGGTCCGTGGACCCCTCCATGGACCACCTTCACGGACCACCCATGAAAACATTGCAAATGCCAAATAATAGATTTGACAAGAATTATTTTGCATTTGCTCATCCAATAAAGGCTGTTATGCATGCTATATAGACAATTGAAACGGTCGCTTCCCGATCCCCGGGAAAAACCGCGAATTTAATGTTTGAGTGGCATTGAAATAAGACGTTTCCCCCGGTAAGACTTGGTTGTTAAAATCCCCGCTAGACTTGTCCCGCTGTTTTGGTCTAGTAGTAAATAACAAAACAAGCACCTTTCATGCAGTCAAATTTTCTGTGATACACATGGTTAATTTTTGTATAATCCTGTATAATCTTTTGTGTACTACATTGAGGCTATGGACTGTGTAATAAGTTTCTATTAAAAATGTTTTCATACACTTCAAAAACAATTCATCAAAATCCCGACGCCCAGGTTAATCCTGCTGATAAAAGCATGTCACTATTTAATACTCCGCTCGTCCCGGTAGTTGGGGACGGGGGTTTCGATTTTAACTTTGTCACGTCAGTCCTCTACACATTATATTTTCATTTGATTTTTTTGCACCACAATTCCTCTTGCTTCTTCACATTAATTAGAAATTTATAGTGCGCAGATTTTCATCAGCCATCTTGTGAAAAAGGAGTGGTCAGCGGTTAGCAGTCGAAAGAAAATTGGCTAAAGCTCAAAAACTATACCATGTAATAGCATTTTTGATGTTTGAATTTTCAATCTATAATGCGGCAAGCTGAAGATCGAAGCACGCGTGATTGGCGGCCGACCGACAACACAGACAACATGACAAGATAAATCATTAACTTAACATTCTTTATTGGATGAGCAAATGCAAAATAATCCTTGTCAAATCTAGGCATTTGCAATGTTTTCATGGGTGGTCCGTGGACATGGTCCATGGAGGGGTCCGTGGACCGGGGGTCAGTGTTTTCAACTCTCCCCGACAATCGCGCTGCAAAAATTGCAAGTGTAAACGGGCCTTAACTGGTAACCGGCCATAAAGACACAGCAAAAAACAATAGTTAACTAACTAGAAACATATACTTATCCCAGGTTAATGCCGACATCTTAGAAAGGGTCCAAAGAGACTTTGCCGAGC